TTTTTTTTTTTTTTTTTTTTTTTTCAGTTTTTTGAAAGTATTTTCCGAAGGACAAAGTCACAATATGCCAAGCAGCCCTTGCCCCCCACCCCCACCGCCTCCCCTCCCCAACCCGAAAAAAAAAGAGGGACAAGCAAGTAAATACTAAAATACTAAAATACTAAATACTAAATACTAAATAGTAACTACTAAATAGTAAATAGTAAATACATAATATTAATATTACCAATTTTTGCAATTCAAGATAGCCAGCTAACAATAAATAAATGAATGAATGAATGAATGAATTAAAAAATGTAATAAAATAAACAGATAACAAAAGAGAAAGCGGAGTACAGAAAAAAAAAAGAAAATAGTTCGTCTTTAAAAAAAGAAGTTTTTTTTTTCGAATTTTGGACCTTTTTGGTAGCTTAGCAGACATACTATATGGTTCCAAAAACTCTTTGAAGTTTGAACTCCTCCATATGGACCTGGCTGCACTACTCACCAAATGCGCAAAATGAGAATGAATCTACCGCTAGAACATGGGAAGATACACCACCATATTTTTTGTCTTTTGTGCACGTGGTGCGCAGTGGAGCAAGGCCATATGTCTAGGTTTGTTTTCGTAACTGCAGGAATGGGCACAACGCCACAAATGAACGCCACAGTTGGTAGTGCTGAAATGACAAAGTTGTTATGATCCTGGCCAATTTTGCAGTACACATTCATCAGAAAGTACAATGCCGTCCAATTGCAAAAAGAAATGAACGAACTTGAGAGGAAAGAGCGGGAAAGAAGAAGAAGAAGAAGAAGAAGAAGAAGAAGAAGAAGAAGAAGATGAAGAAGAAGAAGAATCAATGTCCGAATCCCTCTTCTACTGCAGGCATCACATGAGGTCCACCATAGCCATGGCCACCCTTCTTCCTCCTCCTCTCACGGCCGAGGCTATGGCGGACAACCAGGGCACCGCCCTGCTGTGCAAAGGGCACCACAAAGCAGCTATGGCTGCTCTAGCTCAGGCCGCCATGCCTGACTCTGCCTCGAAGCTTCTTGGTGCAGCTCTACCCCAACGGGGGCCTTCCAGATGCAGCAACCTCATAGCCAGGTAAGTACCTCTGCGGCTCCTCCCTCCTAGTCCTGGTCTTCTTCCTCCTCCTGTCCTTGCTCTTCCCCAGCAGCGCTGCTCCAGCCAGCGCTCCAACCAGTGTGTCGCCAAACTGGCACACCGACAATAAGGAGGACCTTGCTCCTCCTGGAGATATAGCGGCCTGCTTGCCTCTAGGCGAGTGACTTCCTAAGGCCGCGCGGCCTCTAAGCAACCGGTACCTCCTCCCTTTTGGAGGGAAACATCATGGCAGACTCTGATATCGCCCCGTACAGGCCCTAGACTCAGACCGGTTGGACTGGCACCCGCCTAGACCTAGCCCACAACTACTGGGCCTCTAAAAATGCCAACTTTTTGTCTTCTTCTGCTCGGCCTCGAGTACCCGGCACATCTACCTCTACTTGGTGTGGTACCGGCCTACCTGCTACTTAAGCGTTTTCTGCTGCTCTAAGTGTCGCGGGCCTCTTTCCTCGCCACTCGAGTGTTTTCCCCGCTGCAACCCTCAATGTCACGGCCACAGGTAAGTACCGGCCCTGAGAGCCCAACGAACGAACAAGTGCCCTTGCGGGTCACACACACACTCAAGCCGACAAGCACTCAGACAGGCATGCAGACCAGCAAGCATGCATCCACACAGACTTAGAAAATTCAGCAACTAGCGGGAAACTCGGTAAGGCATGCATTCCATGAGCAAACCTCAGAAATCAGTTGTGTGTCTCAGTCCGTGTTTGGCAGGTCATTACAAAGCGAACAAATCCTCAACCAACCAACCAACCAATTGA